TGTGAAAGAGTCTTTACCTAGTGGATGTATTTTTAAATTAAGACATACCTTTTGATTAAAATTAACGACTATTAGGATTTTTTGATGATTTATTGTGTTATATGAGTTTTTGTAAATTCTAGAGGAAGTATTGCCAGGCAGAACTTCTATTCTTCTAAAATAACATTTATTATGATATCACTGTAATATTAATATTTGTTTGATTCTGCATAGTTCAGGTAATGCAAAGTGACTCTTTACAACTTGTGCTGAAACATTTTTCTTTTAACATATGTTTAGTTTGAGGAAACAAGCTAGGAGCTTCACTTTTCTCTCAGTGTCATTGTCTTTCGTGCTTTAAAAAAACAAAGTACAGGTATGCGGTAACTGATGCCCCGTGCCTGTGAATGGCATATATAATACAAAAAGTGCATTATATGTGCATAGATGATCTAATGGCTCCTTATAGCCTTAAAACTATGAAATAACATTAAAAGATCTTTATAACAAATGTGCTTTTAAAGAAATATTTTCTGATCACATGTGATAATAATATTCACATGTGAATAAGTAAATTCACATGTAAATAAAGGGAAGCAGCTTTGTGCAAACTTATGACAATTAGAAATGTTTGAATAATCCAAAAATACTTAATGGAACTTATTTAAAAGATAAAAACAAGTAACAGCGGTGTTTTAAACAATATCAGCATTTTTTAAAGCACGAGCACCTGGAAGTTAAAGTGTCTAGAAACTCACTAAAAACAGGAAAAAATGTATTGGCTTCTCTTTTTTGTTCAAAGTGCAAATGGTAAACAAATAACAAAATTAATGAAATTACATTTTTACACTCTTTTTCATTTAATAGTTTTGGGTGTCAGGAGAATCACAGGATATTTATTTAGTTATTTATGCAGGTTCTTTGTTTCACCTGGTGATATACTGACATGACAGTGCCTGTATTTTAATTAGAAACATTTCATTATCAAAGAATTTAAGGTCAAACTCATAGAGCTGTGGGAATGAAGGGGGATTCTCACTAGTGTATCTTTACGTGAATCCTTAGCAATGGGTGGTGTGAAATTTGCCCTTGTCCCAAGTGTAGCTGTGGCAGGTATTGTACCTGATGGACACAGTTCAGAGCTTAATTTTTCTCTCATATTCTCACATGTTCTGGTGGGAACAAATAGTTGTTAGCTTGTAAGAGCAGCATATCATAACCTCCTTCCCTGTTGGGTTGTGCTAGCTGAGGTGTCAGTGGATGCCACAATAGTCATTCCTTCATTCATGCACCTGTTGGACTGCAGAGAAAAGATGGGAGCTTTAGTGCCTGACTCCAGTGTGCTAAGATTCAAGGTCTAAAGAGTGACAGTGTTATTCGACTAATAACCACTAGTCGAAGAGCCTTCGTAAATCAAATATTTCATTTTTAAAATAAAATCTATTAGGAGGAAACATATTAGAAAAATGAGCGGTTTATGTGTTATTATATCTTTCCCTAAGGCTTACTGATCCCTGGAAGATTGAGAAGGCCTAATCTACTCCTTTAAAACGCTATTTTAGCCCTTAAGCATAGGATAATTTTGAAGTAAAACTATTGCTTCAAAATAAAAAAATCAAAACTCTTCATTTAAAAATTAATTGGATTTAAACATTGTTTGCCCATTTTTCTGCTCTTTTTCATTTAAAACTATACAAAAAAATTAACCCAGGTTTGCAAATAGTTTTGGCCTCCTAACCTTGTCTTTTTCTGCAACGTTAGTCCAGGTCAGCTAATATTCATCACATGCAGATCAGCAATTTTACTTCTCTGATCAGATCACAGGCTGTATGCATAAATATGTTATACCTCGGTTTCCAGTTTATTACATCACACTTCCATGTCAATCGTGATGGGGGAGGGGACCAAGAAGAGAGATTAATAGATATTAAAAAAAATAGAGTTGTAAACATGAGCATATAATTAAAACAGATGTTGTTTTAAAAACTTGAGTTCTTTTCCTGCTTCTATACAATGACAAGCAGCAGGAATATTGCCAGCTGCTACAGTTAGGTTCTTACTTCAGCTCCTCAATTCATTTTCTCTGCTTTTGGAACAGCAGAATATCTCCCTAGCAGTGGTTTTGCAATAAGAAAAAGAACATGGGTATTTTAAAAATAAATGCGTGGATTTTAGTACTCAGGAAAGATGCCAAATTGCCAATGCTGGCAATGGATTTTTTTCTCTTTTAAGAGAACATCATAATAACTGAGTAATGAACAGATGAAGTTGTTGCTGGAGTTTAGGCTCGATGCCTGTTTAAGCTTTAGTATTTCTGCTAGGAGTGCCACCGGAGTTGCTTGCTAGTACCCTTAGAAGTGGTTTTTTGGGGGTCAATGAACATGTATTCACTGGAAAATAGGTATACAGGCATAAGCAGTGGATGGCTAGCAATTTCAGATACTACTGGTCATATTGAATGATTTGTAGAGGTGATGGGGCTATCTGTTCATTTGGTACACTTGATTCTATCTTCTGTTTTTACATGGAAAATATGAAAGCCACAGAAGCAAGCCAAGTACATACACTTATGAAGGAACTAAATAAAAACATCTTGCTATGTATAACAGCTATGAGTTTGAGAGCATTTTATTTTGCCTCTAAAATGGAGTAAAATTGGTGTAGCTTGCCAGTTCTACATCAACATTGTTCAAAGACAGTTTGGAAAAGGGAATTAACTAAAAATACTGAAATAGAGAAATCCTGATGCTGATAAAGATGGATATTTAATAAGTTATAGGTATCTGACCCAGCCAGTTTTGCAACACTACTTTTCAGAAAGCTGTGGTTAATGTAGTTTCCTCCCCAGTGGTATGGAATGCAGAACATTTGTCCTGCTTTTATTTCCTAAAGGTATTTTGAGTGACTGTGTTCTACATAATAAAAGAAAAAGCGAACGGTTCCTCTTTTATCCAGGTAGAGAGATTAGACACTTCTATCTTTTTATTAACATGTTTATACTTATTGAGGCAAGTTATAAACTAATTATAGCCCTTTATGGGAAAATTAAATTTAACTTGATACAGTGAAGAAAATTAATTCAAAATAACAAAATGCACTTCAGCCTTCAGACAGGGAAAGAGACAATCTGTTTAATTGTACATGTTTGGACGTTAGGTACCTACATTAGCGTCAGTCAGATTTGCTTCCCAAATTAAGAGCCATGGCTCATTAAAAGAAGTAGACTGGAACATTTCTGTACAGCTAGTGTTTCATTAATGATATATTCCAAAAAAAAGGACAATCCCAGGTCATCTCCCACGTGTGTGCATGTGTGTGTGTGCACATGTGGATATGCACATATGCATGTGTGTGTGTGGCTTTCTGAACTGGGCATAGATCTTTCTGAGGTGCTCTGCATTAATACTGCTTGCCTGGCATTTCCCTCTCTGTGGTTTTGAGGAGACTCAGTTGTACAAAACAATGAACATCTTTAATTCTCTCTGATGTCAATGGGAATCAAAGGTACTCAGCAACATACATGGTTGTGCTTAGCTTTCTGTAGGATTAGGCCCATGCCTACATCCTGTGCCAGAACTTGTTAAGTGATGCAAACCTTGCTGAGTGGATCTTTACCCCTAGTATCCTACCACCGTTTGCTTCACTAGTCTGTGGACTTACCTCTAAGGCTAGGGACAGACGTTAAACATAAACTGGTTTAAGTGATCAGAAACTGGCTTAAACTTGCAACAGAACGGATGTTTAGTGCACATAAACTAGTTTGAAAATGACTGAAACTGATTTGAGATAAACCTGGCTGAATGTAGTATCAGACTTAACTGATCTGGGTCAAACCGGTCTATGCACTGTCTCCCCCAGACCTCTTGCTGGTTTAAGATTAACCAGATACCCCCAGAATCCTGGCATGCTCTCTGTGGTGGGCAGGGCTTTCGGCTCCACAGCAGGTCTGGCCCCTCCCCTCTGCTCCCTGGCTGGAGCTCTGGCAGAGATCGCAGACACAGCAGCATTTGCCTGGCTTCCCCCGACCTACTTGCCTCTTGCTGATCATGCAGGAATCCTCCCCACCTCCCGCCCATCTCCCACAGCATGGAGCCCATCCCTGTGGACCCTACGCATGTGGAATACTAGCTAATGCCAAGACATGTCTGTATGTCTCTCCAATTTCACTGGACAGGCAGACAGAACAGTGACCACTTAGGGGTTTTTGGAGCTAATCAACAGGTCAGTTTAAGAAGAGTCTGAAATAATGGAGAGAGGCTATTGTTTTGCTGATGGGGTGATAAAGCCCCTGGTATCAGCCCCCTGCTGGCTTGCCTGCCTGTCAGTTTGCTGCAGACAGTATAAAGGAACAGGGAAGGAGATTGAAAAGCTCTGTATCATCAGCAGATGCATGCACTGCATCCCCCACCCCTCTTGCCTCAGAGTGCTAGCAGGGGTCTGGGGTCTGGCAATACTCCCACCCCTTGAGCAGCCATGAGGGAAAAGCCTGGGATGGTGCAGGAAGACCTCCCTAATCAGAGGTCCTTCTGGGGCCTGACCACAGCCCCCCTCAGCTCAGCACTCTAAAAGGGAAGGGAGGGCTGCTCTAGCACCCCGCCCCCCCCCGGCTTTTAGCCTGAGCCACTGCAGGCATGTGCCTGAATTTCCTCAGTTCACAGAGAATGTCTGTCTGGTTACAGACAGATTTAGCCTAGCCAGGTTAGACTAACCTGCAAACATTGAATCAATTTAGGCTCAGGCTTCTTGAATGTCTGTCCCTAACCTAAAGCTGTTTATCTTATTATCCTACAACACTGATTTCAATATGTCTTCTATGGGCTTAGTATATTGGGCCTAAGCCTGGGTCCCCTGTTCACCCCAAACTCCTGTTGACTTCACTGGGAGCTCTGGGTGCACAGGGAATGCAAGTCTGGCTTACAGTTAAGGAAACTATTTCGATATTTTAAAATGTAGTTAAATGTCTTCATTCCCTCCTGTTTTTCACTGCCCCTTTTAAACATATTTTATACTGTTTGTTTCAGAACCGGAGTAAACGCCTGGAGAAAGTCCACGTTGTTCTTGGGAGTAAATCCTGTGACTTGGATTCCCTCGTTTCTTCTTTATCATATGCCTACTTCCTAGATAAGGTAAAAATGAGATTCTGATTTATTTGTTTGACATGCATGAATGTTCAACAAATCAAAACATACATGTAAAAGATCCCACCCCCTGACCTCATTGCAGGCAAAGTCAAGTCTCCTTTCCAGTTAAATGGAGGCAGATTGAATCACTTCATTATCAAATGTAATGAGATAGATTATCTGGCTCCACAAATAATGAATTGGCATAGACTAACTTATGACCATTATGAAAAATAAACAAAGACATTAATTCAGTATAGGTATTGGCACATGGTCTATCCATCACTAAGGTGTGATATAAGTGGTACATAGATTTTCTTCAAACCCCTCTGCACAGGAATGGATTTCACCCCAAGGCCTTTGAAGCAAACAACAAATCTTTGTGTAACTGTTTTTATTAGACTGGGTGATTCACAGGAGGCTAAGGACATATAAATATTGTTTATGTATTACTTGTGTTACAGTTGCACTGGAGATCCCATAGTGCTAAACATTCTATATGCAGATAGTAAAAGTTGGTCAGTCCTCTGGAGAGGTTGTCATCTAAATAGTTGAGAAAGGAAGTATTATCCCCATTTTATAAATAGCCTATTGAGAGAGAGTGTGTGACATTTTGGCTTTAGTCAAGACAGTGAGACTTTTTTCCTATTGACTTCAATAGAATCAGCATTTCTCTCAGAGGAATCAAGGAGTTTGTCTGAAATTACAAAAGACATTTGTGGCAAGGTGAGACTTGAACCAAGATCTCCTGAGTCCATTGCAAGACCAGTTTAAGATGGAAAGGTGAATATTCAGTGGAGATGACAGGGATTTAGGTATTTGACTTACGTTTAGTGCACTTTGAAGACCATTTTGATGAATCTAATATTTTGTTAAAATGGAAATATAGATTTTTTTTTGCAATCCTATTTGCTCCATATCTCAACAGACATATAAGGAGGAACTGGCAAAAAGCTTTATTTGGAGCAAAAATAAAAATAATAAAGAATAGAAAAACAACGGGCAATTTCTATTCAGGCTTGTTTTCCTTGTCTCAGACAGTTATGCATGGCCCTGGTGAGAGGCAGGTACTGTTTAACACTGCTGTGACACATACATGTTCTCCTGTTACAGGTCAGTCCTCCTGATGTTCTGTGCTTGCCAGTGCTGAATATACCAAGAAGAGAATTTAGCTACTACACAGAAACAAGGTTTATTCTGGAAGAACTGAATATCCCAGAATCATTCCATATATTCCGAGATGAAATCAACTTACATCAGCTGAATGATGAAGGGAAATTGTCTTTAACACTTGTTAACAGCAACATGCTGACAAGGTACTTTGTTTTATGTGCAATAAAATGGCTCTTCCAGCTCTGGTTTCAGCTGTTATAAATGTTGTATTTTATGGTTGCATGATTAAAAAACACTGCGGTTTTTTTTGTGATATGAGACCAATTCACAAATGCTAGGGGGTTCAGCTTTATTTTCATATGTGACCAGTAC